TCGGGACCCGGGGGCGTGTCGTCGCCGTTCAGCACAGAAGCGGCCGCGCTGAGGTGCGACGTCAGGGCTCGCTTGCGCAGGGGATACTGATATTCGAAGCTGAAACGGCTTTGCGGGAGGCGAGGGACAGGCGGAACGGAAGAGGAAGAGGAGGAGGAGGAGGGGAGATGCGACGCAACGGGGGTGGAAGCCGACGGCGAAGGAGAGACGATGGAAGCACTTGGTGTTGTTGTTGTCGGTGCTGAAGGGGAGTCGCTGGCGCCGGCGGATGGGCTTGTTAGCGCGGCTGCTTTGCCCGCGTCACGGGGATCGTCCGCTCGTAACATCATGGTGGCCACGGCGGAACTACGGAGGCTCGGGGCGAGCCCTCGAGCTCGATTCTGGCTCCGTTGGGATTCCGGTGGAGTTCTGGGGCTTGCGTCCGGACGAGAGGCTCGCTGAGGGGACGAAGGACCGGTCAGATTTGGGTTTGACTCTGACGTCGCTCCAGCACTGAAAGTAATGGTTCGGGCCCGATTCACGATCGAACGGCGACAGAGTGAAGCCGACGGGTCCTCGAGCGATACATGGATGGGCGGGTGCACCGCAGATTCGGTTTTTCGCCGGCGTCGAGAGTTGAAACGATGGTCTGCTGGGGATGAGGAGAAAGAGGAGGAAGAGGGGGAGTAGGAGGAGTAAGAGGGGAGGGGAGGAGGAGGATGAGGAGGAGAGGCTGCATTGCCAGCTCCTGCTGCGTCTGGGGACATCTGCAACTGCACCACCCGGTCAGGCATCCACACGCATTGTTCGATCAATCACTTGGATGGTCGTTTCCTCCAGTCATGGACCCGGAATCCTGAGGCGATCCGAGGCAACTGACACTGGGGAAAATTAATCTCAAACGTATAGGCGAAAAAAGTAAGTAAAAAAGAAAAACAAAATTACGGAGTGACAAGAAGGAAAAAAAGAAAGAGGAAATAATATGATCTGTTAACTGAAGTGGACCTACGGGGTGGACATCATATATTATTATTATACTAGTTACGATGCGCAAATTAAAAATATCTACCATGCGATCTCTCTCGCTTTCTCTTCTCCTATCTACGTACTACTAATTATAACTGACTCGCCTTGAGGCTCCCAAGGGCGAAGGAAAAGAGGGGAATTGCCTGGGACGCCAGGGAAAAAAGTGGACAGGAGGTCAATTCGATACTAAAACTCGAACATAAAACGGCGGACGGAACGGTTGCTGGCGGGTGGCTGGGCTATTCTGTAACTGCTAACCTGCTTGAGCTGGTTATGGATGGGATCGAAGGAGGCCAGTGGGGAGAAGGAGCAAAGAAAGAGAGAGAGAGAGAGGGAGGGAGAAGGAGAAGACGCTTGCCGGAGAGAGACGGAGGAGGCGTCAGACCGGAGAATAACATCTATCGACAACGGATCTGTGATATCACCTCCCAAGTCTTTGAGATCGGATTGAGGCTGGATTTCCCTGCATTCTGAAACCCTTCCGATATCAAATCTCTAAATCGGGTTCGGACTGGGCATATTCACACTCGTCCCTCCCCCCCTTCAACGGTTCAGTTTCAACCCTACGCTCTTCGCTTAGCAACGATCCTCATGGTCCGTGTGGAAGGGTTATACTCCAAATTTTCTTGTGTTGTCTCCCTTCTGTGAAAATTTTGCCAGCAAGACATCATACATTGTAGGGAGTGAACCATGGTTCACTCCCAACGTCCCGTGGTTGGATCACTGTCAAGCTCGCTATCCTCATGTTTTGATCGGTAAAGATGTCTTATAGTTGAGTCACGCTGGCATTCGCACACACAAATGCAAGGAAATGCGCACGGATTTAGAAATCGAAAAAGATAGAGAATGGTTATTTCTACCCATCTATCTGAAGGGCTATCTTCAGCCTCGGCTCGCCAGCCATTATAGTAGGAATGCTCTATGTCAAACCATCGGGGGAATTTTACCCACTACACCATAGATTATACTGTATACCATTCATGACAACAACTGTAAAGAGAAGATCCATTCAGAGACAGACTCTTGTCATCTCCCCCGGCTCTAGCTTATAGTGAAAGTCGCAAAATCAATTGGATCCTAGATACCTCTCGTGACTGCTCGTTTGCATGTGTTCAGTACTGTACGTCCGGCTTGAATGCTAACGTCTCGGACAGCAGTCCAGGTGACCACGGCCCTTTGAGATTGGACCAAAGCAGGTTTAGGGAATCGGTCGAATTAATCCGGGCCGGGTTTCCCCCGTATTGGACGTAAATGAGGGCCAGCCATAGACCGCGTTCTAGCCTGTGGCATCCGATCCCGAATAGCGAGCAGGACTACTTGCTACGGCCGAATCCTTTAGATCTACGATTGGTGCGGCGACCGTGCTACAGCAGTCGGTCGTGTTAGAGTCTCGATTTCAAGCGAACGAAGACGAATCATTAGCTTACCTACCACGCAGCCTGGTGCGAGACGTATGAGTGAACGGCGCATTGACTAGCTGTCTCATCGACTTTGAGTAGCTGGGACCCTTCCATCGGTTGCATCCGAACAGGTGTAAACTGGGACACTTCGCTTGGGTATCATAACTCGAATCAAAACAGATCGACGGTCAATATAGCTCTATCAAGACATCATGGCATTAGCCGATGAGGTAGCAACGCTGCAGTGGAGCGGAATCGCCCGTGCAGGCCGGTGCCAACGGCAGGAAATGCTGTCATGTGTCATGTACAAAGTAGTGCTCAGGATCAGTGACCGACTCGGTAGTTTCCGTCCACGAGGTAGTTGTTAGGTGGTTGAGACGAAACAGCACCACAAATCTCCAACCAACCTGGTTCCGCAAGCACCTGGACAGAGCTTGTTGGTTGGGGTAGCTCCTCCAACAAGATTAGGATTCAAACGTCAAATGATTCAGTGCGGAAGCTGCGAGGCTATTCTCTCGAAACAATCTATCTGAGGGACCTGTTTCACATTAGCTTGTCTAGCTGCTCGGATTAGGGCCAGTTCTGTCATCGGCAGCAGATCGTGGTCACCAGGAGCCCCGGCTTGAAGGCGATCGATTCCACTTTATTCTGTAATTACCATGCTGCCTAGAATTGTTAGTTATGTGCGCAACCGATTAGTCAACAATAATGACAAAAAGGAGAGATAACTGACTAAATTGTGAGTTAGTTGGCGAGGGGAAAATTTCGCCCACGTACTTCATAATCAAACCCTCCCCACAGCAATCACCGACGTGATGCCGAACGGGCGGTCCAAGTTCTATGGCTCCAACCAGTAACCAGAAGAGAGAGCCCTGGCCCCATAGTCTCAGATAGACATTGCTGCCACGTGGGATTGGAACCAGAAGGGTCAAGTTTCATCAATCGTCTATAAATCTGTGACATCAGTTGCAAGGACAGTTTGTGCATATCCATGGGATATTGGCCAGTAGATAGGCAGGTTGAGCTGCGAGATTGTTGAGGGTTGACGGCCTGACAGGGTAGCACTGCACCTGCTGCTGCTGCTGCTGCTGCTGCTGCTCGTTTCTATTTTTGAGGAGCCGTAAGCGCGGCAGTCTTCGGTCAGCCGTAGACAGTAGTGGTTGACCGATAGGATCCTGACAATTAACGACGCAATGCAGTGCACATCATTGAACAACAAAACCCCATGATTGACCTTAGGTTTGGCATTCAAACGAACATCATTGCGTACACCCACCATGGTCGTTGAAAATTGGAGACCATAGTTAGCTGGGACAAATTCAATCACGTCAAGCGGGCGTTGATCGTCCACGGTCGCGAGTGTTTGATAGGCGGGCGGCGTGTGACGGAGGATGTCGCACACGTGACTGCGAGCCCCATCCGGAGGCGGACTAGTGGCTTAGCATTGGATTGGCGTGTTTCAAGCCGGGCTGAACCCCTCCACCACCGTCCCCATTGGTTTGACTTAGCGCGCGCCCTCTTTTGCCTGCGTGTTTCAGCTGCAGTGGCCGATGGCGAGGTTTGCAGGTCCGGACCTGAGGTAATGTTATCCTTGGGTGTGTGTCCGAGATGGTTGATACGGGGACTGCGATTGTCGAGCGAGCCGGTTGAAACAGTGAGATGATACATCCTGCTGAAGGAACCACAACAAATCATCCCGTTTAAGAAAGAGAAAAACAGAATCCCGCCTCTCTTTTCGTTGCGGCGGAGTACTAAGCACCAACCGTGCCGCGGTTTCTCCTCGTCCCACACTGCCAATAACGGACGGTCCACCGTTTCCAGGGGCTTGTCTGGGAAGGTGGATCGCTTCAACTTAGCCCCAGTCAAGTCAGCCTTTGCGTTTCACCTTAGCCTGTGACCCTCCGCGCCGTTACCTGTTTCTCATAGGCTCGATGCCAGAGAGAGGTCCCTGCTGAATCGCCATCCGCATCTAGTAGAAAAGCGATTCTACCCCTCAAAGTTATGTGTTCTCTTAAGTTCTGATCTCTTGCAGTCTACTTTCTCGTCCGGTTTGTTTTGGAGGGGGTTGCCCGTGCTTTTTTCTGCTTCTTTTTCGTTGTTGTCTTCTCTCTCAAGCCGGCTTGACCACAAAGAACCCTTTGATTAAGCATCCAGCAAACAACCTTTCTGCGCGAACCGTGCACTCCCCAGCGGGTCGGACAACCTCCCCAAATACGGTATTATTGTTGTGTGTGCAGAAGGTTGCTTGGATACGTATCCTGCCGGGTTTGTCTGATTATTATTACCCTCGTGGGTTAAACAGACAGTATTTTCTTCTGTGTGACTTCTGGAAGTCTTCTCAACCATTTCTTTTCTTCTGATCTTCTTCTACCCTGACCGATTGTCCACACTCCTTATTGCTGTACGCCCGGAGCTACCGTCGCTACGAGCTCTGCAATTGTTTGCCTGGTGTACCGATTGAAAGTCTTCCTGGAGTCACTACTCTTACCGGCATATTTGATCCCAAGCCTCACTCCTGTTTTTGTTGAGGCTGAACGGACCATCTCCTTCATACAAGAGGAAGAGCTCTACAGGTATGTATACAGCTTTTTGTTCTTTTATCTCATTGTTATTGTCATTTTTATTATCGTCCATGTTCCGGTTACATTGCTGTTTTCCACTTCTTCCTGGGTTTATGTCATCTCTGGGTCCTTTCACACTAGTCCCCCCATCGCACTTCACTGCCTCTGTTGGTTTGTTCCTGGACCAACTATCGTTTGCGGCCTTCCCAGTGGCACCCTATTGTGGAGACCATTTTACCTTTTCTTTTTTTCCTTTACCTTCCTTTTCCAATTAATCGAATGCTTTCTCCTGCACCTGGCCTTCTCCGATGAGGACCTCAATGTGGAACCGGGGAGACCTCGACAGAGTCGGCCAGATCACAGATATAGGAAGTGGGAGTGAAAGTGATTGAAAGATTGATTGAGAGTGTGAGTGCGAGCGTGAGTGAGTCAGAGAGCGAGAGAGCGAGAGAGCACAGAGAGCACAGAGTGACCCCAAAAGAAAATGCCCCGTCACGATTGCAACTCATGATGTTGGAGAGGAACCCCCAGTTGATTTTCATGACTGTTCTCCACCCCCCTTGTCGCCGTATCGGAACCTTACCCACTCGGCCATCACTTCCCAGTTTTTCCCATCCAATTCCTTCCGTTCCCTTCATCCCCCGGGCGATGGGGCCAACCTGAGTGGTTACTTGCCACGACCAGGTTGGAGGGGTGGAAAGGGAAAGCATGGAGGAGGATGCTGGGATGGGGTGGCTCTGACATGCCGGTGTTGGGGTGAATCTGGCATCTGATTTGCGTGCTTTTGGCGCCCATGATGCACATTCCAGCCTTTGCACACCAACCCGGGCGGCTAAATTTAGAGCTGCAGGCGCTGGATGTTCTGCTTCGACCGGGCGTTGATTGGGTGGTACCAACTGGCTGAATGGGGCTGTTGGGTATCCACTTTCACAGCGTCAAGGATGGTGATTGGCTGGCTGACAGCAACACGGCCGGCCGGACCCAATCAGGACATCCGCCCTTTCCCTTTCCCGTCCCAAAACGAACTGCTACCATTTTACTTTTTTCTTTTCTGTTGCAAGTCTGGCAAGTCTGGCAAGTCACGGCGTCTTTTCCCATACCGTGCGGTGGTTTATTCTTAGCGCTCGGGTGGGTTCGGTTGCTTATTATTTGCTGCCGTTGCTGTGACTGCCGCCACTAAAAAAGAACTTACTGCTTGTGCTGCTGCTGCTGCTGGTGCTGCTGTTGCGGTTACTGTTGTTTGCTGCTGTGGTGCCTGCCATCGGGAAGACAGACAGACAGGCTCTAGTCTAGTAGTACTTCGTGCTCTGTCACTCACTCTCTCACTCTGTCTCGCGCGCTCACTCTCTTACTACGCGCTCGCTACTCTCCCTCTCGCTCTCTTACTACTCTCTCTTTCGCTCATTTCCCTTCCTTTCTGGCTGGCTCGACTCACCCTCGATCTTCCTCTTTTCCCTTTCCCCTCTTCTACCTTTCCCCCTCTCCTCTTCTTACCTTCCTTTTCCTTCCTTTTTTTTTCTTTTTCACCAAAAAAACTAAACCCCCTCTCCCTTCCCTCCCCCCCTCATCACAGGGACTTGCTTCTTTATCCACAAGTCTGCTTTTCTTTTCTTTTGGGTGGGTGGGCAGTCGTTCTTTGCTCCCTTCCCTCTCCTCTTCTTCTCTGTGACCGAGACCCTCCCACAACTGCTGCTTCTTTCGTCATTCCCCGGAGGAACGACTGCCCACACAATCACCGGGCGGCTATTCCTCCCAGTTGCATTGTGCCCTCCATCACTTTCCAGAAAACCTCCACCCCCCTTGGTTCTCTGCTTATTCTTTTCTTTCTATTTTCTTTTCTGGTTCTTGTCAATCCCTCCTTCATCTTAATTGTCTATTTCCGATTTCGACTTTCTATCCATGTCGACGTTGTTGCTTCCCGTTGACGTTTATCAATAACAATCCTTTACGCCTATCACTGACAACATCTTTAAATAAAGAGGCAACAGTTCTCTTGCGGCATTCCTTGGTATGTTCCCAGTCTCGGACCTTGTTGGGACCCTTCTGTGAATGGCTTTCGTCCCATCCTTCTATCCATCATCATCTGCTGCTGCTTCTCCCCTGGTTCTCTTACAACCGCCGGTAGCTCTCGTGGTTTCATTTCAAGCTGGCCGATCGCCATTCTGGTTTCACCCTCCTTGCAGCTGTGCTTGCCTCTCTACCATCGAAGGTCAACATAAGCTGAAACATGGAAGCTGATTGTCCTCTGTCCAAAAGGTCATTTGCGCTGGTAGCAAGTGCGACTCTATCTTGTCTTCCCCGGGCTGGTGGCAATAATTGCGCTACGGCTACATTATTTGCGCCAGCGATCTATAGCAGCTGCGATCCTGAGAGGGTGTCCCCTTTCAAACGCAGGTGTACCTCCTCATCTCCATCCTCCCCGGGCCTCACGATGCCTGTGCAAACCAGCTCACCGTCAGCCCCGGATTCGTTCCCTTCTTTTATGTCTGTGTTTGGGAGGTCGCCCGAGTTCCCCAACACGAAGGACCGAACTTCTCTCGTCAAACCACTTAGGGTTCCGACCAATGTCACAGTCAACACATCGCGACGCCCACTTCCCTTTCAACATCGCGAAAGTATATCATCGATGACATCAGGCTCCACTGATTCGTCGCCCACCACCACCAACTCCACCTTCGATCCTCCTTCGGCCGTGGATACCTCCCCGAGCTCCTCGCCCGAATCTCCATCATCCATGCCGTTATCATATCCTACCTTTATGCCAGTTGCCCACAAGGCTGAGTGCCAAACGCACTCGGCGGCTCCGACCACCGACTTGAAACCGTCAACGGATAGCCAAAATGTCGCACGGCCCGACTCCCCCGGCAGGCGCGCACGCAACCTCAAGAATCTTTCTCTGAGAATGCCTTTGCCATCGCAAGGGTCCCGCCCGCCTATTGCAACGGCTTCGGTCGTAGAAACTACCTCCCAACACCATCTTTCCGCCCCGCCCTCCCCAATCCATGTACCACCGAAGGGCATGCGCCGCAAGCCCGCCAATCTTACGATCCGCACTCCCGGGTTTGATCGGTCCTTTTCAAGCAACGGTAACGATGTGCCGCCGACCCCGCACGCTTTGCGCCACACCGAGTCCTCCCCATCCCTCACGTCGGTGTTTTCCCCATCATTCGGCCCGAAGGGTGGCATGCAACTACCCCGACCGATGACCCATCATGGCGCACGGCGACCATCGGGCGCATCGGAGAGCAACCTCTCTCCTTTGCAAACGGTGCCCGACGAAGGATCGGGAGTGCTGCATGAATTGGAAGAGGAGGATGACCACCTTGACTCGAGAGAGTCGACGCGGCGCAACGAGCGAGGTTACCCGAATGGACCGATCCAAATCTATGACTCTGGCGTCTTCCTGTACCTGGAGCCGACCGCGCAAGAAGCTTCGCAATTCGATGTGGTCGTGAATGTGGCCAAAGAGGTGGCAAATCCGTTCACCGCGACTGCTGGTAGCACCGGCACGGTGGTCAGTACCTTGCGCAATGGGTCGGCAAGTACGAAGCGACTGTCGACTGGAGAACCATGGACGGCCATGTCCGATGCATCCTTCAAATCTGCCTTTGAATTCCCCCCAAATGACGAATCTTCGCCTGCTACACCTCAGAAGGATTCGTCTGGACCGGAATATGTCCACGTCGGTTGGGACCACAACTCCGAGATCCTGGATGATCTTTTCCCGCTTTGCGAGTTGATCGATTCGCGCATCTCTGCAGGTAAAAAGGTACTTATCCACTGCCAGCTTGGTGCTAGTCGATCGGCATCGTTGGTCATCGCCTATGGTCTCTACAAAAACCGACAGTTGGATTTCAACTCGGTCTACGAGCTTGTCAAAGAACGCAGTCGCTGGGTCAGCCCCAACATGAGTCTGATTTATCAGCTGACGGACTTTCGCTCTCGGCTACTCCGCGGCAAGCTTTCGAAGGCGGCCCCGGAGGAGTGGTTTGTCGGCGGGGCGCGCAGGTGCTCCGAGCCTCAGCCACCCCAAACAGCCAGGACAGATGTTTCGGAAGCCAGCACGCCGGGTTTCCTAAGTGGCAGTTCGGATGCGGAGCCAGCTTCGTCCAATGGCCTTTCGCAGTCGTCGATGAGCTCTCTATCGGTGTCCTCTAATCAGACGACGCCTCTGTCGATAGAGAATCTAGGCTTCTCGCAATCACTCTCACACAAGCGCAGCTTGTCTCCCCGGCCACTGCCCTTCCGGCAGGCTACTTATCACTTGGGGCCGACGGGCAAAACTCTACAACCCGAATATACTGCGCCTTCGTGGCGTCCCGAAGGCGGGCCATGTTCTCTGGCTAAGACGGACGTCTTCGTACAAGACATGCCGGATGGAATGAACTCGCTTTTCTCCCCAAGAACCACTGGATTTCTGGCCCCGCCTCTTTCGCGTTCTATTGCCGACTGCCTCGAGGACGACGGTCCCCACGGGCTGCGGTTTGGGTCGCGAGTTGCAGACCCTCGATCACCGCCTCCAGGCAATGAGCGCCTGATCATGAGGAATATTGATGAGTTTCTGTAATTCTGCCATAATGTCCAAGACAGATTGTCTTGAGGACGGGCTGCCGGGAGCTACGTCCAAGAAATGATTCCATGACCATATACACCTGAGGTTTACTCGTGTTGACCTTGTCCCATCTCTACAGCTTTCATTATGATCTACTCGATCTACCGTCATTCTCTCTTTCAGCTGTGGTGGCATTTTTCTCTTTCTATTCGTTTCTACCATTTCCCCTTTTTTTTTCTCCTGATTTGATGACTTGATGACCAAAGCGGGCTTACGGTCGTTATTCTTTCGTTCATACATCTGCCACAGTGCAATTTCATTCCCTTGGTCAACCAGCGGTCCATGTTGCATTCAAGGCCGTGCGTCGACATTGCATGCGTTTGGTCAACCGGCGTCCTGGGTGTTAAAAAGATGATAAAAGGCGGCGAAGAGTTGCCTAGTAACTTGTAATATTATTACTGTTCGTTTGTGATGCACCCTGTGTATTCGTCCACTCATTCTGTGTTGTCGATATTGGCATTTCAGCTGCGAAATACCCTGGGGCTAGTGATTGAATCAAGTTAACAACAACATATACTCGTAGGAGTGTCTAGTGTAGTTGTAGTATGGAGTTCGTATGGAGTTCACCTTGTAGTAGCGGGTTTTAAGCGGGCCGAGTGCCGAGCGGCTGGCATTGAACCTACTGAAACGTCATGCGGGTTAGACTTGTGAATTTTCGACACAGCCAATCTGCCTCTGATCAGAACACAAGAACAGTCTGACAATATGGCCGACGACAGCCACCCGGCGCATCTCTCGCCTAGCGAACTAGGCACAAAAGACTAGTAAGTAGCAGCAGCAGCAGCCAACATCAACATCCATCCGGGGTTCATATGAAAACCAACGAAGTTTTCATCCGTTCTTACCCCGCTACCCCTCATACACCATACCCAAATTCCCTATATCGACCACCATACCCCCAAACCAACATTTAACCCCCATAGTACTAACATAATGATCTAATTGAAAATAAATAGCTGGGAAACCTTCTACGCCCGCACCCTCTCCCACCTCTCCACAAAACACACCACTACCACTACCACAACCACCACAAAACCCACCCCCAACCCCAACACAGAATCCTCCTCCGAAGATGAAGAATCCGAAGAAGAAGATGACATAGACGACGACTCCGACCCGGGCACATCATGGTTCTCGGAACACAATGCGCCTGATAAAGTCCTGCAGTTCCTGACGGATGAGGAGTTTCCGCTTGCGCCGGTGAATACCAATGATAGCAATAAAGATGGTGATGAGCAACAAGCTCCATCTATCCTCGACCTCGGCACCGGCAACGGGAGCATGCTCGCCCTACTGAGAAAACGAGGCGGGTATAAGGGTGTTATGGTGGGGATTGATTACTCCATTAGGAGTGTGCAGTTGGCGAGGGAGTTGCAGAGGTTGAGGATTCATTCGGCTTATTTGAGTGATTCGGAAGAAGATTCTGATGAGGTTGATGAGGGGGGTAAAGAGGGGAAGGATGGGGAAGGAGGCGATACGAATATTCGATTCGAGGAGTGGGACATTTTGCATGGGGATGTGTATGAGACTACTACTTCTGAAGAAGAAGGTGGTGATGGGGAAAGGAAGGGAGGGAAAGTGGATTGGTTCCCGTATGATAAGGGCGGGTTTGATATTGTGCTTGATAAGGGGACGTTTGATGCGGTTTCGTTGTCGGATGAGGTTATTCCTGATGCTGATGGTGCTGCTGCTGGGGAAGGACATGCGTCGGGAAAGACGGTTCAGAGGAGGGTGTGTGAGAGATATCCCGGGATTGTGAGGGGGTTGGTGAGGAAGGGTGGGTTTGTGGTTGTTACGAGTTGTAATTGGACCGAGGAGGAGTTGGTTGCTTGGTTTACTAGGGCTGATACTTCTTCTGCTGGTGATGGGGAGGAGGATAAGTTTGTGGTTTGGGGACGGGTTGAGTATCCGAGGTTTAGATTTGGGGGGAGAGAAGGACAGGGTGTTTGTACGGTGTGTTTTCAAAGGGTATGATTCTAGTACTTAGTATAGATTTGGTATAGAGTTAAATAGTGAGTATAGAAGGTATATGTGAAGGTCTATGTCTTGGCTCTCGCTGTTGTATCTATGCTTATGCTGTGTCGTTGTCGTTATTCATGGCGCATCCATCCATCTATCTACCCTCTTAGATATCGTCTTTCCTCTTCAAAAGTGCAACCACACACCACCGTCTCCTGTTCTCCGGTCCCTCTCCCTCCCTCTGCGCCACCCACTCGCGACGCACCTCGCGTCCATCTTCCTGGCCCGCAATCAAATCCCGCTCGTAGATCCGCTCAATCTCCAATCCCGTCTGCACTGCCGTCTCGAAAAAGCCTGCGACAATCGCCCGTCCAGTATGAAATCCAGCCACTACCCAGACGCGCCCGCCAGGGGCAAGGAACCAGCACATCGTGCGCGCGAGGTTCTCGTGCTGCGAGCGCATCCAGTAGCAGTCTGCTGCGACGATGCGGTTGAAGCTGGCCTTGTTCTGCACGGCCCAGGGATCGGTCTCTAGGGTACCCCATTCGTGGGGTTGAATTGTCACGGTCGTGGAGGTTGAAGAGACTTTGGGGGAGCGCAGATTGTGGTCCAGGTTGAATTTGATGGCGCCTGATAAGGCGGGGGAGGAGGGGTGGTCGGTTGCTGTTACGGTGGATGCTTGGGCGAGAGCGCAGACGACGGATGGTAGTGCGGCGCCTGAGAACATGTTAGTATCTGTGTTTGGTAATAATCTACGCGCATTAGTGGATAGGATAAGAGAGGTACTGACCAGCGCCTAATTCCAACACCCTCTCCCCCCTCACCCTCCACATGGCAAGCTCATCCGTACTCTTCAATTGCCCACTAGCTTCCAGCTCATCTGCCTTCTCTACCGCCTCGGCAACAACCATGGCCGCGCTCCAGAGGAAATGCGCAAACAGCTTTCGGCCCTCTTCGATATGGTTGACCTGGCCGTCGGGGCGGGGTAGCCCCTCTGCTACCTCCTGGGAGCGCTTGCCGGTCTGGGTTGGGTACGAAGGGACCATGATCTCGAGATCGCCATAGCGGGGAGACGAGTAAAGGAGATGCTGGCCTGGATCGCCGTGGAAAGAGGGTGCATCATCTGGGAACAGGTGTGGGAGAAATGCGGCGAAAAGGTCTTCGGAAGATTCCTCCGGGTCGGCCTCAGTCTCGGGGTCGGCGAAGTCGGGGCGAGGGGCAGAGTCCTCGGAGTTGGGGAGGGGATGTCGACGAGGAAGAGGACGAAGGCGCGAGTGAAGCATTTCTGCTTGGGTCTTATTATAGAGACTTGTCTCAATAGTTTTCTCGGAGGGGCCCGTGAGGGGGAAAAAGAGGAGTTTGAAGTGGTTCTACTATAGACACACGGTGGGAAATTGATTGGTGTACCCACCGCCGCTGCGGCCAATCGGAGACAACAGTGCCTGAAGTATAGGGCCGTCCCTTTTTTGGGGCGTGAAAGAGCGTTGACTATCCATGGTTATTTGGGGATGATATGCAAGGTGGAGTGCTACGATGCGGGTTTCTGAATATTCTAGAGGCGCAATGGAGATTAGCTTCTCGCTGTCCGGAGAATTACTGAGCCTTATTCTTCTAGTTCAGTCGAGCAGATCTAGATGGTAGAAGTTGGTCAGCCAAGTAGTACTTTTTTGTAGCGACAGTAGTTAGCGAAGCATTGCTGAATACCAACGAGAGGGGCTGCACTATGTGGCCGACTATAAGACATTCCATTACCATTTCATATTATCAGTGAGGGTGGAAGGCATCTGATGCAGTGCAGCAACGGTCGCAGCTCACCCACTGCACTCTGAGCAAGTGACTCTCCTCCGTTGGATCGAATCACCGGAAATCCTCACGCCCGATCGACAAGCCGATCCTGACTTGATGCTTACCTTACTTTACTAGTCGTTCTCTTTTCATGTACCTGACCAACGCTCGTGGTAACTTTGCTGCAGAAAGTATCGCGTATCACAGGTCAATGGATCGGTCGGATGCTACTCCGGACTACAGCTGATGCTCCGAGCGAGTCAACCCACGTTCGGATAAAACTCCTCATACCACCTGCGAATTTAGGACGAGTATCATACCATACCTTTTGAGGTGCATCTATAAAACCTCTCATTAACGTGGTTGTCTGCTATAAAGATACCCGATTGTGTCCAGGTTCCCCGCTCGGTTGAGGGCCAACGGTGATGAACAGATTCCAAATCCTTCTCCAATTACTCCTCCATCTGTGATTGAAGATGATCTTTGGTTGTTGACCTATCGACGCGACGTGTTTGTTCATGGCCACATTGTCAACAACGAGGCACAGATCACCCTACATTGGTGGCATTGTCTCCATCCGAAACGCTGGCAATCCGTGTCGGCCTTCCATGTCGGCAATGCACTTTGAGGATAAAGTTAATGCGAAATCGGAGCTGTTCGTTGGGTATGCTGTGGAAGAGCCAAGTCAGCACCGATTGATCAGCTCATGCATCATCTATTGACATGGCCCGTCTGATAGAGCAATAACACAGAGGTTGACGCGTTGTAAGTGACCAGTGGCACCTCAACAATGTTGCGATGGAAGGATAAAGGCCCTTTTCATTGCCTGAGATCATCCAGAGCCGTATTTGTCGAACAGAAGGCGGCCAATCGTACTGCAACGGACAAAGGCGTAGGTTATTCACAAAGGCAACATGATCGTTCTAGAGAGCTGCTTTGTAAGTGCAGCGCATCACATCCCGATCGCTAGTCAGACAGTTAGTCGTTAACTAACTAGTTGAATATTGACTAGATAGTTGTCCTCTGATAACCCCCCTCGACGCGCCAGGCACATTCCTATTTGTAACAATGGGCGGCAATCGCTATCAACTGAATTGGACCTCCTGGCGGCGCTAGACCCGAGCAGGCAACTTGGCTGGGCTGCCATGGAGGGGGTCTCAAGATAAGGCCGTGACCCCGTCATATTACATTACCGGTACTCCAAACCGGGTGGCAGTTCCCCGGCCCCTCTGTCAATCACCCGTATGGTATCGTCATCCGCGATGATGTCATCTCCCCACCTGCAGGCCCTAGACCGGTCCATCGCAGCGTAATAAATTACCGTATGGTCATGGCCACGGGGCGGGCACCCCCGATCAGCAAAGTGAGTGAGTGATTTTTGGTGGGAAAGTCAGTCATCCATTCATTGTACCACAATGGATCGATTACTGGCATTAGTTCGTTTCCTCTGATTCTTTGGGAGGGAGTAAAAATCATAATTGTCACCTGTTGGATTTCTTTTCCTGTCCTTTCTCTTTTCGGAGATCATTGTACCTGGCGACTTATTATTCTTTTTCTTACAAGACTTTTTTTATTTTCATTCTAGACCGTCTCAACTGCTTCTTAAAAAGACAACAAGGCAGGAAAAGAAACAAAAAAGAAGAAGCAAGAAAAAAGTTTGGAAAAAAAGAAAAATGTCTGGGGTGTCACCATCCATACCAGAGCTGGTGGGCTGCTGCTGAACGGATGATCAGTCCAACAGGTGACGACGGACTGGGAACTACACTTGTCCTTTTGCGACAGATTTCCCAGAAATAGTAGACAGCCAAAAAAGCAAGACAGACAAGCAGAAACATTCCATGAAAGCTCTCCGCGGATTATTCACCTTCTGGACCATTCTTGTTTTTCTATTTTCCTTCCTTTTTCTCCTTTGTAATAATTGTGTGTTATTATGACCTAGATATTTTTTTTTATTTTTTGACAAGATGTTTTTTTTTTCTCAATGGAACCCTCCAAGGCACTGGTTGATATCATCCATCCATCCAGACCTGGGTCTCCCGTTCCCTTCCAGTCCACTTCTCTCGGAACCCCGATGCGAGTGGAGCAAATCACATCACTTGCCTGGTTGTTCTTGTTCTTGCTGGCCGCCGGTTAGTCAGGAACCAGGGCAAACCCTGACCAGGATGGTGAGAAAGAGAAATAATTATAATAAAAATAATCAGCAGAAAATCCTGAAGGAATTCCAATCCTTCTATTGAATCAATCAACTGTTTCAAAGTAAGATAATCGTCAGGTTGACTGCAAACCAGCGGCAATTATTTTTTTTTTTAGTGATTTTGCCCGAAGCTGACGGATAAGCTGAATGGCGAAATTAAATGGAGCACTTTTAGCAACTTTTCCCAGTGTCTGATCGCCCGAACCCCCGCATTGCTCAAGGCCAACTCCTGGACTTGGACTAGCGAACCCAAAAAGGGCCAAATTGGAAAAATGGCGACACCCCCCGCAAAATAAAAGTAATGAAATTAAAACAAAAAGAGGAAGGAAGGGAGTAAAAATTACCTTAAAATATTTAGATCAATACGGGAGCATATCGTCATTCATCATTAAATTTAGTAGATTTCCGGTATTTCTGTAAAGTCGCAGTAATCGTACAATGGCCTCCTCCAATCAAGGGCTGTAACCCGTCCCAGCCAGACGGCCTCGTGCTGCCATCCAATCCGTCCATCTTTGCATCGCCCTGCAGCTTTTTTTGTTAACCACTCACTAGTAACAGTAGCTGTTTAGTCGTGACTGTCTCTGGTCTGTGTCTGTGTCTTGTCTGTCTGTCTTGTCTCCTCTTTCTCCTCTTTTTGTCTCTTACTCTCTCTCTCTTTCTCCTCTAAACTTTCCCTCCCTCTTGTACTTCTTCCTCCTCCCCTTCCATCTTCCACTTCTACCTCTACTTTACTCTTCCACTATTTCCTTCTCCCCTTTCTTTCATTGATCCACCCATCTTTCTCTCCCTTTATCTACTAAATCTATCTCGCCCACCCATTGACTCAACCCCCTCCCTCCCCAATTGCCCCCGTGATTGACTGCTTTGCTTGTGCTTGGGTCCTGAACCTTTTTACCCTTAGCCTCGCAGGTACCTGGTCGCCCGCTCGTATCCCTGGGATTCGCCTACCAGTTAAACTAGCTTTCCAACCGTCTCTCACTTTCTCCTCTTTCCTTTCTTTCGCCTCTTTCTTCTTTTTTTTTTATTCTTCCTCTTC